AGTTGGTGCAACAAAATAATTGAGTAAAACAGTTGTGACTTTTCTACTGCCTTTTTTTGGGGGGAAAAGGCTTTCTTTTTTCAAAAATTATTTTTTTAAGGAAAGACCAGTCTAAAGAGACTTCTGGCAAGATGGTGGACAAGGCAGATACACTACATGCATGGATCCTCTACAACAAAGATATGGTGAGACAAAATAAAACTGAAACAGATGAAAATTCTGGCACCCTGAACTTCAGAAGAAAGGTTAGAGAGGTGGATGGAGTGCTTGCTGGGAGGAGAGGCTGATCAGGGACAGTGAGAAAGGGAGACTGATAGAAATTCTAGAAAAGGAAGAGAAAAGCACAGAGAAAACTGTTGAAGAGTTGTTGGAAGAAAACTTCCCTAACATCATGAAAGATGAGAAAATAAGCATACACGTTGAATGAATACCCAACAGGAAAGATCCCCAAGAAAACCACCAAGACATAACAATCAAAATGTCCAAAATCAAAGAAAGACAAGGAAAGAATCCTGAGAGTAGCTCAGGAAAAATGAAAAGTTATCTACATAGGAGAACCAATCTCTGATCTCTCAGCAGAAACCATGCAAGCAAAGGCAGCAGTGGAATGACATCTATAAAACTCTGAAAGAAAACAACTGTCAACCAAAAACCATACACTCAGCAAAGCTGTCCATCAAATACTACAATGAAATTAAGACATTTCTTGATAAACAGAAATTAAAGGAATTATAATGACCAGACTGACTTTGCAAGAAATGCTAATGGGTATTCTTTGGACTGAGAACCAACAACAGCAAACAAAAACCTGAGATTATCGTTTGTGATACCACCAGCCAGAAGAACTCAATCCAGATATAGAAATAACAACTTACAAGACTGAAAATAGAGAACCAGAGATACAAATGTATAATGGAGTCAACTCTAAAACTAAAAGAGGGAATAGTGTAGCTACAGAACGAGAACTTGGCAAGGGAGTCCAGACAGTTTTCAAGAAAAAAAAAAAAAAGACCGTTTTAAGGAGGGAAAAGAATGAATAAATTACAGGATAACATCAAAGGAAAACAGTAACCTGTATATCAAAAAAAATTAAGAAAAGGGAAATCTGAAAGATTTAGCAAATATTAACACAACAGAAATGAAAATGACAAGAAAACCCACAAACAAAATGAACTCAACATAGAAAAGAATGTGGAGCAAAAAATACAGCAGCACCACACAGAAAAAATACAGACACATGACAATAATCAATTCATATCTATTGATAATTACACTGAATGTAAATGGATTAACTGTACCAGTCAAGAGACAATAACAACAATAAAAAATAGAATGGATAAGAAAATAGGATCCTTCAATATGCTTCCTACAGGAGATCTGTCAAAAATATGGATATACAACAGAAGAATGATTAAACAACCTTTGGTACACACACACAGTGGAATACTACAAAACGCTGAAGAATAATGATGAATCTGTGAAACACCTCACAACATGGTTGAACCTGGAGGACATTATGCTGAGTGAAATTAGTCAATCATAAAAGGATAGATATTGTATAAACCAATGTTGTAAAACGCTAAAAAGAAAAGAAAAAAAAGCTTTCTGGATGAAAAACTATGACAGTTATGGGGGTAAGGGGAGGGAAAATTATTCATGGGCTAGAGGGTTGTTGTTACGTGCTGTGGAGTTGGTTCTGACTCATAACGACCCTGTACAGCGTTTCTGAGGCTGTAAATCTTTACGGGAACAGAAAGCCTCATCTTTCTCCTGCAGAACCGCTTGTAGTTTCGAACTGCTGACCACGCGGCTCACAGCCTGATTCGTAACTACTACGCTAACAGAGTTCCTTGGGCTATAGGGTAGACACCTGGTAATATGGGTGGAAGGGCAGGCAATATACAACAAGGAGGCTGGTAGAGGAAAGATAAAGGTAGCGGGAAACACAGGGAGGAATGCTGCAGTTAAAAATCAGTAGAGGTAAATGTTCTCCAGTGTAGAGATGCTAAAGCAAATGGAAGAAATGAGAAGGTCCAACAGCTGAACAGAAAATTTCAAAGATCACCTCGAGAAGATAAAGCCAAATATTACAACAAAATGTGCAAAGATTGGAATCAGAAAACCGAAAAAGAAGACCATGCTCAGCATTTCTCAAGCTGTGGGAACTGAAAAAAAAATTCAAGCCTCAACTTTCGTTACTGACAGACTCTCTGGGCAAATTGTTGAATAATGTAGGAAAACACAGAGTCACTGTACCAAAAGGAAATGGTTAACCGTTTCAAGAGGTAGCATATGATCAAGAGCTGATACTGAAGGAGGAACTCCAAGGTGCGTTGAAGGAATTAGCAAAGAACAAGGCACCAGGAACTGATGGAATAAAAATTGAAATCTTTCAAGAAAGTGAGGTGGCACAAGAGGCACTCACTCATCTCTGCCAAGAAATTTGGAAGACAACTATCTGGCCGAGTGATTGCAAGAGATCCGCGTTTGTGCCCATTCCAAAGAGAGGTGACTCAACGGAATGCAGACATCATTGGACAATCTCTTTGATATCCCATGCAAGTAAAGTTTTACACAAGGTAATACAGAAACGGCTGCAAGCATACATTGACTTCTAGAGGTTCAAGCCGGATTTAGAAGAGGCCATGGAACGAGGGATATCATTGCTGATGTCCGATGGATCTTGGCTGAAAGCAGAGACTATCAGAAAGATGTTTACCTGTGCTTTCGATTGTGTGGATCATGACAAGTTATGGACAACATTGCAAAGTATGAGTATTCAGGAACACTTAATTTTGCTCGTGAGGAATCTGTACATGGACCAAAAGGCAATTGAATGAACAGAACATGGGAACACCGAATGTTTTAAAATTAAGAAAGGTGTTTGACAAGGTTGTATTCTTTCACCATACTTATTCAATCTATATGCTGAGCAAATAATCCGAGAAATTGGGTTCTATGAAGAAAAACGTGGCATCAGGATTGGAGGAAGACTCATTAACAACCTGCAATATGCAGATGATACAACCTTGCTTGCTGAAAGTGAAGAGGACTTAAAACATTTACTGATGAAGATCAAAGAGCACAACCTTCAGTATGGATTGCATCTCAATGCAAATAAGACAAAAATCGTCACCACTGGACCAATAAACAAGATTCTTATCAACGGAGAAATGACTGAAGTTGTCAAGGACTTCATTCTTCTTGGATCAACTATCAACACTCAAGGAAGCAGCAGTCAAGAAATCTATCGGTGTTTTGCATTAGACAAATCTGCTGCACAAGACGTTTTTAAAGTGTTGAAAAGCAAAGATGTCAGCTTAAGGATTAAGGTGTGCTTGACCCAAGACATGGTATTTTCAAATAACCTCGTATGCATGCGAAAGCTGGACAGTGAATAAGGAAGACCGCAGAAGAATTGATGCTTTTGAGTTATGGTGTTGGAGGAGAATACTTGAAGTGCCATGGGCTGCCAAAAGAACCAATAGATCTGTTTTGGAAGAAGTGCAGCCAGAGTGCTCCTTGGAGGCCAGGATGGCTAAGCTTCGTCTCTCATACTTTGGACATATTGTCCGGAGGAAACAGTCGCTGGAGAAGGATGTCATGCTGGGTAAGGTGGAGGGTCAGAGAAAAAGAGGAAGACCCCCAACGAGATGGATTGGCCAAGTGACAGTATCAATGGGCTCAAGTGTAGCAACAGTTGTGAGGTTGGCCCAGGATCGGGCAGTGTTTCGTTCTGCTCTGCATAGGGTTACTATGGGTCGGTACCGACTCAATGGCACCTAACAGCAACAACAGAGGTAAATGCTATTAACTACTGGTACTTGGAGGAGATTACAACCACGTAGCGAAGCAAAGTGTATGGTTTGTTGATTGTAAAACTGATGATCTGTTCTATAAAGAAAAGCAAAAAGGCCAGTCTAAAAGTCAGAACAGACAGTACTTAACAATAACAATAGCAGCGGCAGCAGGATGACAGACAAGTCAGATGACATATATTGGGTTCTTCCTTCATCAGGCTTTTACACTTCTCTTCCTGAAATTCCCAAGATTTTATATTCTCTCTTCATTTCCTAAATTACCTACTGCAGACACCCCAAAGTACAATTAAATTGCCCATTAAGTGTCTTGGAATTGATTCTTCTAATAAAGTGATAATGAGGTGTTAAAGTTCTGCTCTGTCTCTGACTTATTTTATCCTATTTTAAACAGATACAAAGATGGGCCTTGGCACTTCCTCAAGAAGGAATGCCCGATGACTGAAGAATAACACTGAATCTGGGAATCACCTCATAACATGTGATGAACCTGGAGAACATTATGTTGAATGAAATTTCAATCACAAAAGGACAAATATTGATAACAGTATTGTATAAATTCAAGAAAAGGTTTTCATGCTAAATGAAACATTCTTTGATGGTTACTAGGGGTGGACAAGAAGGGAGAGTTATTCACTTGTTGATGTTGTTAAGTGCTGTGGAGTTGTTTCCGACTCACAGTGACCCTGAATAGGGTTTCCAAGGATCGGCTGGTGGATTTGAACCTTTGGGTTTGCAGTTCAAACCGACATTGCAGTCGAGTGCTTATCCTACAGTGTCACACCAGAACTCTGGCTACAGGGTAGATGTATGTTAACTCAGGCGACGGGGGAGGGTGAGGTGGGATGAGGGGCAGTGGGCAGAAGAATGATGAAGATAGGTGAAGACACAGGGAGCACGGAAGGGTTAAAGGGATAGAGGTCAACAGTGTGCTACCCACAACCCTGGTCAAGAGTGTTCCATACGTAGATATATATGGACAGACACACAGGATTAACGGTATGGAAGGATGAGTGGGCACATACCCACAGATATATAAGGGTTTGAAAGAGGATATCTGCACATGGGTGTTTACCTTTGTTGCAAACACATCTATGAATGTGGTACAGCCACTTTCCCGTATTCAAAGGGAAGAGAACCCCAAACATAAATCGGTTAGGATTTCATTTTCATATTACTTACCTATATCGCTCCTCCTGTAAGGCCTGCATGATTAAGGAATAGTCCCTCTGATAGTGTTCCTTGAGCGACTCAAAGGATTCCTCGAGTCTTGCTTGGGTTTCCCGGATCTCCTGGATCTCATGTAGTAGTGCATCAAATCCTGAGCTCTGCATGTCTAGGGTGTTTGTTTTGGAGCTGGATGCTCCTACAGCGATGCCCCCAGTGGTGCTGTTGGCTCCCACTGAGCCTGAAGTGGCACTAGAACAATCTTCCTCACTACCGTATTTTGGGCTCGACTGAAAGTTCGAAATCACTCCCAAAGTCTTCCCCCCGTCTTCGACTTGCCCTTCCTCTAAAGAGTCCTTCAAGTTAGAGATGTTGTCTG